AGTATTCTGAAGGAACAAAACGTCTTTTCCCTCCTACAGTTAATGGATCTTTATTCATCAAAAATAGCACCTTAACAGTAAAAGAGAACAAAACAGTTGAAATTGTTTGTGAAGCCTTAGGATGGGCTCCAGCTCCAGACATTACCTGGATGACAAATGACTCTTTCATTGATAAGTCGAGGTATGTTACCCAGCAAAGTCAAGGATCTAATGGCCTCCACAATGCCCTGAGCATCCTAACTTTGACTCCGATGGACACTGAGATTTTGACTTGTTTAGCTGACATAGAAGCACTCCCTAATCCTCAGAATGCAACTGTAACTGTTATTGTTGTCAACTCTACTATAGGTAAGTGAATGTTTGTTGTACTTTGCCTATACTGTAGAGCCTGTACTGTGCTCCTGTACTTGGAACTGTGCTTTTTGTTTTGCTTTGCTTTATTTTATTTTGAAAAGTCTTTTATTTACAAATGAAATACTATGAAATGCACAAAGGGGATAGAATTAAGACACAGTAGTCACAACCTGATACATAGGTAGGGTTAATTCACATCTGTGAGAGGACTGGCACAAGTCTAATGAACCACAAAGTCCAGCTTAGGACTGAGCAAGACAAAGCAAGCAGTACATCTGCCACTGACTCCTGCTATGGATTCACTGCTGAGAAAACAGACCTTTGCTCCTTGATCAAGTAAACATCTAATGAATTTAGATCTTAAATATCCTTGATTAGACCATGCGTCCCCTATTGACATAATTTGTTAGAACCCATTTACTCAAAGCCAAACCCTCAGGTGAAATTGTTTTCCATAATATTCAACACCAGTTTTACCACTGACTTGGAAAAAAACCCTGGATTTTACTCAAAGTTTCTGCACACAACCCAGAGTAGATTCTGTACTAGTACTTCACGTGCAAATAGAAAATCCTTCATATGAGCAGTGACCAGATGTGATGGAGCTGTTGTAGTGTAGTAGCTAACATCCCCAGGGCTGCACTGAGGCTGGCACCTCATTGCAGATGGTAGCATTTATATATAGGAACTTCTATACCATATACCCATCACCAGTCTGCTATAAGAAAGTCTTTGTACGTAGTGTATTCACCCATTACAGAACACGAATCAGGTTATCAAGAGAAGCTTCATATTCATGGGCTTTATCCCAAATTCTACTTAGATCAAAGAACCATTGGGCCTGCTTTCCTCTTCCTGGTGTGGTGTCTCTCAAATGTTAGAGGAAGGTAAAAAATGTCCTGTAGCAGCAGATGCTGAATTCTTTGGACGGTGCATTTGGTTGCATTTGATTGCCTTTTATTTAAGGAAATTCAAGGTCACTTTAATCCAAGCATGGATGTTGGCCAAATCTCTCAAGAACAGTTAGCAAGACCTTTGATAACCCTAAATATTTTCAGTAAGGTTGTCAGCATTTTCTATAACGCTGCTAATCTTTGGCCTCACTCACTTCCTATGAAAATAAAACCCTGTAATTTAACACATTCACAGTACTAGGAGGTTCATCAGGAAAAGGGTGATTTTATCTGGTTTGTGCTGCCAGCGTGGAACAAAGCAAGTGAGACTATCGCTACAGATCTGCCTCACAATCTAACAGAATCCTATGAAAAACGTTTTTCTTTTCCGAACCGTAACACAATAAGAGCAAGTAAGAGGAATTACCTCCCTGTGGGTTAGCAGTGTTTAATGCAGACGAGGGAGACAATAGCAAACGGTCCGAAGGAGCATTCCTCTGTTGGGACTAGGCAAGTGTCTCAACTGCCAGGCAGAGGAGTCTCAAGGCAAACTAAACTTCAAACACTAAATGCATGGCAGGGAGCTGACGTTACTGGGTGTAGGTATGCTGCCTCCTGCGGTGACATAGTCCACCCTACAGTGACATCCCTTTTATTAGCCTTACGCTAACAAGTGCTTACCTGTGCTAGGTAATGCTAGGGAAATGCATAGATTAAATGGAGGTTTTTTTGCAGTGCGTCTATGCATCTCCAGCTGTCTTCTGTACAGAGTAGGGCCTCGAATCTACGTTTCTTTTTATGATGTGGTGAGCATCACGAACTTCTATAATCGTGCTGACAGCTTCTCTTGATGAACTGATTCTTCTGTAATGGGTGAACATGGCACGTACAAAGACATTCTTATAGTGGATTGATGAGGGGTTTGGTATAGAAGTTTCAACGTATAAACAGCTGAGGAGGTTGAGTAACTGTGCCTTTTATTAAATATGAGTCATTATTAGCAAGCCTTTTTCAGAAGTACTTGCGTTGTAATGCAGTTGAAAAAGGTCATTTCACCACTCCTAGTATGGCTTTTTTGTAATCACATTGATCCTAATTACTGACTAAGCAAAACAAAACTATCCTGATGAAATTAATGAATTCCCCTGCCTACTCATTTGTGAAGTACTGAGGTATCCACCCTCAGTTTCCATAGCTACTCATTGTAAATCAGAAGAGGAGAAAAACAAATGTCATGAAGTACAATTAGTATATAATTAGTGATTGTATAGGACCATCATTCATTTCTCTTTGGAAAAATCAGTGTGTAGCAGCAGACACTCAAAATTTGTCAGGATATGAGAATATGAAGTCTTTAAATTATTAAAATGAAATATAGACATGGCATCTACAACAGAGGAAGGTATTTAATGTATATATCACACTTGAAATCTCAGAGCTTGTCTGACTTTTCACATACAGACTCAGCCTTAGATAGCTGTTGCCAGGAAAGAATACGACTAGCTTCAAAAATCTAAGGAGTCCTTCCCAAAATTACTGTAATATCAGTTTCTGCATTCACTTAAAAACATGAGGAATCTAATTCCTCCGTGTTCCTCACAAGCAATACCTGTCCCTTCACAAGAACTGCAAGCAAAAATCTGAGCTCTCTTCAGCCAGCCATCTCCTGGTCAAAGAATGTCCTACCTTCCTGCACCTCTGGATCAGTTTTAATCTCGACCTTTCCATACAAGGTGATGTATTTTTATGTCAGTCACTCCTCCTCCAGAGTTACCTCACTCACAGTGGTGTTTGGCTGAGACACAAATTTGGGAACTCTTGTGGTGTTATCCCAGCAGATGCATTCACAGAGCTGTTATTGGGAAATGGGGTCCATGGCAGAGTCACTTAGCTGGGCCCAAGCTCTCTGTGGCTTCAGTGTTGACTTCATTTGGCCTCTGACCTGCAGAAGATGAACATAGGGAATCTGCCATGACCCTGATCTTCCTTTGCTTTTTAAGTTAGCCAGAAAGCTCCGAAGTGTCCAAGAAGTGATGTGCAGCTTTTTCCAGTCTCTCATTAGTCCTTGGTTACTAGCATGGTCCAGGGAAAATCACCTTTTCTGCAGATACTTAGCCCAAGTAAATTTTGGGGCAGCTTTGGGAGGAGCCAGAGGTCTGGGCAGCAGCAGAGGATGGGCCCTATAGAATAAGGAGGTGGCTCTGTGCACACTAGGTACTTCATGTAATGTGGTGTGGATTAACTAATGGGGTTAAAAGGAGCTTAATGCCCTCATGCCTCAATGCCCCTCTCTTGCACCCCTATTTGTGTGTTGAGCTGGCAGCTCCTGCATTCATACCTGCTGGTCCCAGCACCAGTTTCTTTCTGGATCCTCCAAAACTGGGGAGAAACTACAATGCTGAAGTGCCGGGAGTGTTTGTATTGTATCCTGTCCTTCTCGCTTCAGCTCCCTAGATCCAGTTTTGGCATGTAACCTCAACCTGACAGGGAGCGAAATACCTTGGTGTGGCAGCCAGCCTGGAGGTACGGGCCAGCACATGTGCGTTTATCTCCTCCCTTCACACTAAGGTTAAGCTTTCCCTATAGCTAAATATCTGTCTGTGATATTTTAGGCATCTTGAAATCCCTGTGGCATGCTTTATGGAACAAAACATGATAAAATACAGATAGTTGTTGCAGTTCTTCTAGGTAAAAATATTATGAACAAGTTTATCATCAGTTGTAATCACAACTGATCACAGCCTACAGAATTAACTACTAGTTTGCAGGTTAGTGAGTGCTTGTTTTCTGTAACAGTCAGAAGATATTAAGAACACGCTGATGGAGCATTAGGATTAGAGAAGCCTTAATCATAATGACCTGAGCTTTGGAGAATACACACTCCTAACAGAGGTTCAAGCTTTTTAGGAGGCTCTGGTCCTGTATCCTTGCACTCTGAAACCTCCAAACCGCAAACATATGCCCCGGCAAATTTGTAGATAGAAAGCATTTACTTTATTCCCTGCTATAGGTAAAGCAGCAGATACTCTGGTGCACACATCAGGGGAATAGCCCTGACACTGTGCAGCTACCGGTCACCTACATTGCTGCGGTACCTTCTCCAGAGGTTGTCAGCTAAATGTGGCCATGCAGTCATTAACTGGGACCTCTGATGAGGAAATGACAATCATAAACCCAGTGTGACAGAATGGGTTTTGTCAAGTTTGAATGTGTCTCACACCTGTAATTTGGATTGGAAGCTCATTTCCAAACACCTGCCAAAATTATTTTGAGCATGCTTTTCAAAGGGTAGCCAAATTAGAGGTGATTCTGAAGTATTTGGTCAAAACCAAAGGGCAGGATGTGACAATCAGAACCGACATCTTCCTTGTGCATCCAGCTACATGAGAAATATGAGGTATTTTTAAAATTCTGTGCACATGGGAGCTGTGTAGGAAAACTGTTTGGTCATAGCAACCCATTTCAGCAAAACACTGAATTATCTTTAAATCATCTTGTTTAACTCTGTAGATTACAGCAAGGACAGAGGAATAAGTAAATGTTGTGAGAATGCAGGTAGAGAAGATGGGTTAGTAGTTGCGTATTCCCACATGGTGCTACTCTTTACAGGTTTTGCTCTTTTAAGCGGATAACAGGTGCCCTACCAAGTATGTCCCAAAATCAAACAACTGCTGAAATCAGTGAGAAGAATCCCAAGATGGAATTCAACAGAAAATCATATCTACAGGCTAGAGATCTCCATCTGTACTAGTCCCCTAAGACTATTGTTCTGGTCTGTGGGGAGAAATGGACGCTTCTTCACAGAGCTGTTCATCTTGTCGAAAGGCACACATACACATTTGGCCAAATGAATTGAAACCCAAAATACGTATTTTCTCTCCACTGACAAGAGCAGCTAGGACGTTTAATATCTGCAATATAGACATCTAAATGGAATCTTAACCCCTCTCCCCAACCCCAAATGTCTCCAAAGGATTCTGGGAGGCCCAGCATACCTACAAAATAAAGTTTAGGCTGGAAGATAGCAACTTTGTGCTTTTCAGAAGAGAAGTAGCAGTGGGGAAAGTTACAATTGCAATGAAGAATTTGCAGTTGGAAACATTTTAAATTCTTGGGCACCATCTATAAATACAGAGTCCATCATTTGGAAAACACAGACTCCACAGACTCCTTGTTAAATTATCAACAAGCATTTAATAGCTTCTCACAGAAAAAGTAAATATTCTGAAAAGGATATTCTGAGGCTCTGAAAATACAATATTTGTCCATTTAATTTAACAGAAAATGATTACAGGGAAGACAGCAGAAGCACATGGGTTATTGTACTTGCAGTCGTGCTTTCACTTGTTGGTATTATTCTTCTGATCGTTATTATTGCGGCTGTCATACGCTGCTGCTGTCTAAAGAAGAAAGGTAAGTGGACCTTCACAATTGGTCTATACTCTCTATTAAAAATTATCTTAAGTTAGATATAAATCTCCTAGTATTGTCAGCTCTGGTGTAGTGCAAAGACCTGTGAGCAGAAGCGTGAGCGGACAGATCCTGCTCTTAACCATGACCTGGTTAAGATGCTCCTTACTTTCACCTTGCTGTTTTTCCTATAAAGTGGTTCCAAAGTAATCAGTGGCCCCTTAGTTTTGTGAACGCACACCAGCTACAGGAGGGCAGTGTTTTTCAGGCGTACGTTAACTTCCAGTCATGTTCAGTTCCTGTGCTGGGGTTCTTTGCTGAAGCGTACCTGCAGGGCCATGTGCCTGATTTCCAGTTTCTGTGTAAGCTGTTCTACAGGGCTGTTGCACAGTTTTGTAAACAGGGAGGAGAGGTGCCCCAGTGGTAGCTGGAACACAGTGCACGCTCTAAGAGGAGCTCTCTAGTAGGTCACATCTTATTTTCCTGCATTTTAAACACGTTCCTTTTTTTTTTTGTTCCTCTTTTCCCCCCTCCCCCCTCCAGGATCTACGTATCAAACTGAAATAAGGTAAGCTGGATGAGGTGGGAGAATTTTTCCTTTTAACCAAACTCTTTCAGGCTGCTGCAGGATGGGGAGAGGGACGTGCCAGTTTCCATGCCCCATGCCCCGCACCCCCAGGATGCTTGGGGGCTGCCCTGCTTGTGTGACCTTGCCCATTTCTGCGTGCACAGCAGGGGAAGGGGGGGCAGTAAGCAAAGGAAGGGGACTGAATTTAGGGGGGAAAACCAAGGGTCTTCACAGCCCGCAGCAGGTTGAGAACTCTGTTCCCACAATAAACTGGAGGAAAAAAAAAAA